AATTGAAAATTTTTAATTTTCAAAAAAACTTTTGAACAATTAAAATTTTTATTGTTTCTTTTTTATTACATTTATTTATTTTTAGTATATTATATATCACAGCACATATGTGGAGGTCAGGGGACAACTTGAAGGAGTTGATCTTTCCTTCACCATCTGGGTCTCAGGAATCAAACTGAGGTTATTGGGCTCAGTAGCAAATGTCTTTACTCACTGGCCCTATAATATTTTTTTTTTTAAGAGTCTCACTGTATAGCCCTGGCTGGCCTGTAATTTGCTATGTAGACCAGGCTGTCCTCAAACTCAGAGTTCCACCTGGGATTAAAGGCATGTGCCACTATGCCCAGCTCTGGATCTATTTCTTAATGTATAATATAGATTGGTGTTTTCTTCTTCAGGTCATGGAACATCCTTTAATATTGACTGCAATGTCTGTTCTTGTTTTGCTGGCAATTTGGTATGTTCCACCCGCCTCTGCCTCAGTGAGCACAGTTCAGATGATGATCGTCGCACCTTCACAGGTAACCAGTGGCATCCAGAGGCTGTCCTTAAAGGGCCAGCAGTCTTTTGCACCCATATTCCCTTCTAGGCAACTTTGGTCTTGCATTAACTACAGATAAGCACAGCAACATCAATTACAAATCTGAGGACAAGATCCCTTCCTCTCTGGATCACAATTTCTTACTGTATTAACTGAAAGCATTAAACTAATTGGTTTCTTAGGACCTTCTTCCAGTTCTAATATTCTGGGATTCCATGAGTCAAAAAGAACAAGATCAATCACAGGGATGGTTTCAGTTAAATGGAATTTTCCTACCTGGCAAAATACCCCATTTACCCCTACCACAGTAGTCTAAGCACTTTCTAAGTTTGCTTCTCATCACGTTCTTTCTCAACCTTCCTTTACTGATTCACAAAGTTCCCACAAACAATACCATCTGGCACATACTACTCTCTTGACTTTACCATACTTGACAACATAGTGTTATGCCAGCGCCTGCAGGGGATGAAATGATGGGACATTTTCTCCTGTGAAACTGTAGCTGTCAGTAGTGACAGCACAGGATGTTGGTGTCTCTTGTGTCTGCTTTTCACAGAGCTGAAATATCTTGGTTCTCACTAAAATGGTATTGGTGTTCGGCAGCTCTCCCTGTCCTCATTCATGCCACCAAAGTGACAGCCTGATTCTTCTTTCTTAGAAGAACAGTGCACCTTTGGAGAGTAGGGCAGAGAAAGGATTTCCTAACCTTGTGCATCCAGCCTATCAGAAATCAAAAGGAGAATGAACTGCAGAATGATGGGGAAAGTATAGCAGAAGTAGAAGTGCAGCAAGCTCCACCCGGAGAATGAACTGCAGAATGATGGGGAAAGTATAGCAGAAGTAGAAGTGCAGCAAGCTCCACCCGCCTCTTCCTACCCCGTGAGCACCAGCCTTCGCTGCTTTTCTGCTGTGACCTTTACTATCAGCATCTTTATTGTAATCCTTTGTCTGCTGTTTTCTGAGGATAATTCATTCTGTTTAGAGAAACAACAGAAGGATGTGGTGATAAGAGTATACCAAAGACTTATAAGGACGATGTTTATTATTTACTCATAAATTTCAATGCTTTTAGATGATCTTTACAGCTAGTGTGACCCTTGTTCCCTTTAGTGTGTGGTCCCTGCTATCATGGTGTAAATTAAGCCAATAACACTTTAGCTGGTAGACTCCAAAGGAGTTCTACTGGCCCCAAACTGAACCACATTTCTTGTGACTCAGTGTCCCAATCCAAACATGACTCAGAGGAAGGAGAGGAGGGCTTGGAGGGAAGGAGGGAGGGAGAGAGGGAGAGAATGAGTCATAAAAATTTGTTTTAACTTTTGGTATTACCCTTTAATAGTCAAGAAATCCCGCAAGCCAGACTTCAGTCATGAATTACAAATTTTATATACCAGATAGGGGGAACCAAGCTTCATTATTCCTACCTATAGTGCTGTTTCTACCTGGACTCAAGGTCTGGAGGCATCTATTAGGTAGCAATGGGAAGATCAAAGGAATGCCATCTTGTAGAGACAGCCTTTCAGAGTACACCTTTAATCCCAGCACTTGGGAGGCAGAGGCAGGCGAATCTTTTTGGGTTTGAAGCTAGCCTGGTCTACATAGTGAGTTCCAGGACAGCTGGGGCTATAGGGAGACCCAGTCTCAAAAAGACTAAAAAATAAATAAAAAATAAAAACCCTGTCAGAGACTTCCTGAAGTTTCTTTTCTGAGTTAATTTACAATTCCATTTTACCATGATTGTTAGTGGTTTGTCTTCATGAAGACTTAGGGAAAGGGAGCATATATTGACATATTTTTGAGGCTGTTTCCTTCCTTCAGGTTTGCCGTGTAACTGTGCAGATCAGTTTGTCCCCGTGTGTGCTCAGAATGGACGCACTTATCCCAGTGCCTGCATTGCTCGCTGTGTGGGTCTCCAAGACCATCAATTTGAGTTTGGACCTTGCATCTCCAAGGATCCCTGTAATCCTAACCTCTGCCCAAAAAACCAAAGGTTAGTTAAAAACTACTTTTTCAACCAAAGACTAGCACTTACAAAGCATCTCTTTTAAAAAAAAAAAAAATGTTTTATTTATTTATTTTTTTTAATGTGTATGAGTGTTTTGCCTGCATGTATGTAAGTGCACCCCCATCCTGCAATGCCCTCAGAGGTCAGAAGAGAGCATTGAATCCCTTGGAACTGAAGTTACGGACAATTGTTAGCCACCATGCAGGTTCTGGGAACTGAACCCATGTCCTCTGCGAGAGCAGCTAGTATTCTGAACCACTGAGCCATCTCTCCAGCCCCCTATAAAGCATCTGTTATGAAAAGATGAAAGTGAAAAAGAAGTGGTCTGACTAGGCTTGGTGGCACGTGCATATATAATCTCAACATTTGGGATGCTGAGGCAAGAGGACTGTGAGTTCAAGGTCAGCCTGTGCTACATACATATTGAGATGCTGTCTCAGAAGAAAAAATAAGTGATCTCTGTCCTGAATAGTGTGGAGTCTGGCGGGAAAGACAGCTGTGTGAAGGTCCTCAGCAGCAAGATTGCAGATGTAGAGCAATTAATGCAGCTGGGTAGGGAGGGGCCTTAAGAAGGACTGGAGGACCTGCTGTTCAGCTGAATCTGAAGATGAGCAGACGCAGGGTTAGGAAGGAAAGCTGGTGCAGGCGAAGGCAGAAGGCAGCAGGAGTAGAAGTCATGGCTGTTGAAAGTGAGAAGGAAGGTAGTGCGGTGTCTGCTGAGAGCTCCAGAGATTAAGACTGAAACAATGGGGCACCGAGGCCAGTGAGATGAGCAATGATGTGCCCTTTTTATTAGCTGTTAGGGCTGCTTTTACTATATCTATTTTAGGGAGTAAGCATGCAAAATCTCAGGAAGTACAACTTTAGTATTATTTGAAATTATTTGGTTTTGGGCTCCTTTTTCCATCAGCTCCTCTCCAGACCAGTGAGAATTGACCTGGCCTTGATGGAGGCCACAGGGCAAGTGTCTGGCTGACTTAGATTCAGTTTTGTGGAGCTGGAGTGTTCATTGTCTGTCTCAGACACCTGAGACACAGCCCTTTCCTCCTATGGGAGTTTGTAGAGAAAATTTCTTCTTCATCCTCAAAATTTAGTATAAGAGGGAGATATTCTCATCTAATGGCTATGGCAGATCAACTGGTCGGCTCTCTGCCAGAGTTCACTGTCCTAGTTTCATCTCTGTGGTTAAAATACCCTGACCAAAGGCAACTTGAAGGAGAAAGGGTTTATTTGACTTAAAATTCCAGGTCACATGTGGTTCATCATTGCCTGGAAACCAAGGGAGGAACTCAGAGCATCACATCCAGTCCAGAGCAGAGGGAGTAAGTGCAGCCACGCTGCCTGCTTGCTTCTGCTTCTGCTCAGCTTTCTTCACTCTTAAAGTTCCGACCCAGCCCATGGAGTGGTACTGCCCAGATTTGGGGTTGGTCTCCCCACCTCAGTTCATAATCAAGACATGCCCATAGGCCAGCCTGCATAGATAATCCTCAGTGAGGCTGTTTCCACGTGGTTCTAGGTTGTATCAAGTTGACAGTAAAAACCAGCTAGCACATTAAAACAGTGGAAACTAAACTGAGAGTTTATAGGATAAACATTCTGAATAATATTGTGTTGCTCTTCATAAAACAATAAAAGGAAATCTCAAAGTAGAAAGGCCTCTCTGGGTATAGTAGAGAACCAGTATAAAAGAAAAGACTAGCTGGGTGTTGTGGTGCACACCTTTAATCCCAGCACTCCGGAAGCGGAGGCAGGCGGATCTTTGTGAGTTCAAGGCCAGCCTGGTCTACATAGTGAGTTCCAGGACAGCTGCGGCTACAGAGAGACCCTGTCTCAGAAATACAAAAAAAAGACTGAAAAACTCATCAAATGAAAACCACAATTTTTGCATGGTAACAGACAAATGACACACTGGGAAGAATATCTCAGAGAAAGGCCTGTGGCCTACAAATCAATATGAAGAGTTTAAACCTAAATGAAACAGGCGAAGAGTAACAGCCTAGTAGAAAAAGGAGCCAAGGGAAAAAAAAACACAAGAAAAGAAATATAAATGGTTCTTAAACACTGAGGGGAAATACATCTATGTGTTACAGTTTAGCTACTATGTACAAATCTTAAAAGCTCAGCACCTTCATGTAGCAGAAGATGAAGCCCATTGTGTTCAGCAGGCGGCTCCCAGTGACCGGTCCTCTCACAGTGACCTTGCTGTCTCTCCAGCCCTGTTGACCTCCTCTGTATACTGTGTCCGTCTTGATCATTTTATTTAAATTCGCAGCTGCCAGCTAGCCTGGAACTTGCTCTGTAGACCAAGCTGGCCTTGAACTCACAGAGATCCCCCTGCTTCTGCCTCCTGAGTGCTGGGATTAAAGGTGTGTGCCACCATGCCTGGCTGATTCTCTGCTTTTTTCTGTGATCCTTACTCTTTAAAAATTTTTGTATATATTGTGTATGTGTGTGTGTGTGTGTGTATGATGTGTGCATGTAAGTGTAGCTCAGGGATTAAGAGAACTGACTGCTCTTTCAGAAGACCCGGGTTTGATTCCCAGCACCCATATGGCTGCTAACAACTGTCTGTAACTACAGTTCCTGGGGATCTGACACCCTCTTCTGACCTCCATGGGCATTGCATGACACGGGTACACTTATGCACATGTAGTCAATACACACATACACATTTTAAAAAATTAAAAATAATAAATAAAATTTTTAAAGTGTAGCCGAGTGCCACAGGGTATGTGTAAAGGTCAGAGGACAGCTTTCCAGAGTCCATTCCTACCTCCCACCTTGTTTGAGGCAGGGTCGCTCTTGTTTCTACTGCTGCACTGTGTACTATACTTCAGCTTCCAGGAAATTGTTCTGTCTCTTCTTCCCAGCTGGCTGTAAGAACGCTGGAATTACAGGTGGATGCTACACATCTGGCTTTTTACATGGGTTCTGGGATCACACTCAGGATGTCAGGCTTGTGTGACAGGTGCTTGACACTGTGTGACACTGAGCCCTCTCCTCAGCCCTGACCCTTTTTATTTCTATATACTCAAATTGATCCAGTCTTTTCCTCCCTAAATTACCAAATTTTGCCTGACATTTAGTTCTCATACCTTCCTTGTTAGTGGGTATGAAGTTCTTGGTATTCTTCTCCATTGTTCCTCTTCAGATATTTTTCATTTCCATGAAGCCAGAGCTAAGTGCAGTCTAGCTTCAGATCCTGTGGGCACAGGTGACATAGTGGTGGTGGTGACATTGCTACAGGAGGCTCACTCCTAAAAATTTTCATCTGAGCCAGGCATGGTAGCTCACGCCCTTAATCCCAGCACTCAGGAGGCAGAGGCAAGGGGATCTCTGTGAGTTGAGTTCCAGGACAGCTGGGGCTACAGGGAGACCCTGTCTCAAAAAGACAAAAGAAAAATTTCATCTGAGGGCTGGAGAGATGGCTCAGCAGTTAGGAACACTGACTGTTCTTCCAGAGGATCAGAGTCTGTTTCCCAGCACCCACATGGCTGCTAACAACCATCCATGTCTCCAGTTCCAGGAGATCTGATGCCCTCTTCTGGCCTCCACAGGCAACTGCATTCAATTTCATGTATCAACACAGATACCTACATAGAAATAATTTTTTTTAATTTTTCAATCCCCTGAGATTATCACCCTGGCCTATATTTGTCACCCTCTCTTTTAAACACTAATATTTACATATATTATTTCAAATACCCAGTGAAAGCTACACATTCTCTCTGTAAACTTCTTATAGAAAGTTTTGCTAATGGTTATAAAAATGAGGAAAGCAGGGCACTCGGTGCTTGCACCACACCCTGGCTTCAGTTCTCAGTACTAGAAAAAAAAATTAGGAAAACAAGAAAAGTTTAGAGAAGAGAGCCCTCAGGTTAACTCCTCAGAAGGAGCAGGAATTGAGACAAAGTCCGGAAACTGCAGACTAGCTTCTGCAGTGTTCTTTCAGTTCACAAGCTGCCAGTACCGAGCCCTCCATCTAGGAGGCACAGAAATTTGAACATTTTCAGTACAAAGAGTGAGTCCTTTTCTTAAGATAGACTCATCTTAACCAAGCTAAAAAGTAAGCACCTGAAATGCTCTGTTTGTTCCGATGATCTCTGTCTGGTGTTGGACCCACCCACTATTGGTTCCATGTCAGGCACTTCTACCCCACACACATGCCCTTGGCCTTTACCCTCACAGTCACCTGCCGTTTTTCCAGCACCAAATCCTGGCCCATCACCTTGAGTTTGTGGTTGTTCCCTCAGCCTGGTCAGCTTGTGCCCTCCTTACCCACCAGGCTCCAGTTAGAGCACCCCTCCCCGTGCATTCCCTGGACTCCCCACTTAGTAACTCATTCCCACCAAACAGTTTCCATGCCATTCTTGACTGTTCGCTCAACATAAACTCCATTCCCTCTTGCTTTCTCCTCAACTTCCTGTGCCACATCCAGGACTCTGCCAGCCCTGCCGCAGTCCCTCACCACATGTGGTTCACTTGCTCCTTGTCTTTTCCAGATGTGTACCCAAACCACAAGTCTGCCTGACCACTTTTGATAAATTTGGATGTAGCCAGTTTGAGTGTTTGCCCAGACAGCTAACCTGTGACCAGGTCCGAGATCCTGTTTGTGACACAGACCACATGGAGCACAACAGTCTCTGCACTTTATACCAAAGAGGAAAAAGCCTTGCCTACAGAGGCCCATGCCAGGTATGTCGTTTGGTTGATGAACCAAAGTGCACTGGGCGTAAAATTAGTTTATGATCCTTTTACACCTGAAATGCTCCATCTGTTCCGATGATCTCTTATCTGGTGTTGGACCCACCCACTATTGGTTCCACGTCAGGCACTTCTACCCCATATATACGCCTTTGGCCTTTACCCTCACAGTCACCTGCCGTTTTCCCAGCACCAAATCCTGGGCCATCACCTTGAGTTTGTGGTTGTTCCCTCAGCCTGGTCAAGAAGAACCCAGTCCTCTGCTGAAAAAGAGGCCTGTCTCATCTAACTCTGGAAAGTAGTGTGTGCCTTCATGTAACTAGTGTGTGAGGTGAGCATAGACAGTGGCTTCTTGAAGCCCATTTCTAGAAGAACTTAAGGTCTCACACCTGGTGTGGTCAGGCCATTTATTCTTCCCACTGTTCTTCGCCTTCGTTAGTAAACAAATTAGGAAGAAAGGGAGAGGTTTTCCACCTCCCTACCACTGCCCTGCCTCCCACTGTGCTGAAAAGTGATTGAAAAGGTCTCCAAGACTTGTTATACAACCCCTAACTCTTAAGAATGTAGACTGCTGCCACATTAATCACCTTATCACAGCCTCTTGAAGGCCTCAAACCACATGTCTGATTCTGTGCTGGCCCCTCTGCTGGGGGATTCCTGTCTTTGGACCCAGCATCCCCTGCCTGCAAACCATGACCACCCGGCATAATTGCTTCTCATTCCCTCGTTAGGAAAGTCCCTTCAGCTTGTCTGTTGAGGCTTGTTTTCTCTCAAAGCTGTCTCCACTAACACTGCTCCACCTACTCTAAATGCTCAGTCTTCTCTCCCATCCTTGCTCCCTCCTCTTAGCTATTATTTTTCTCAGGTTTATTCCTAACCTACCTAGTAGGTCCTGAATCTGTCTGCTCCATTGATCTCTCCACTCATCCCTCTCCTTATCCCACACCCAGCATGAATTGGTAAGGTCTCCACATTTGTGTGAAGAGTGATCTTGTTTTCATTCAGACCTTTGTGAACACTCAGAAAAGTCTGGGTGAAAGAGCGATGGGGACATTTTTTTTTTTTTTAATGTGTATGAGTGTATTGCCTACATGTCTGTGAGTGCACCCGTGTTGTGCAGTGCCAAGGAGGTCAGGAGAGGGCTTCGGATTCCCCTGGAACTGGAGTCAAGGACGGGTTGTAGCTGCCATGTGGGTTCTGGGAATCGAACCCAGGTCCTCTGCAAG